GTCTCCCTCCCCCCACAAGAGCTCTTATACTCTGTTATCCCTGCTACTGTCTGCTGTGTTGTTGGCACCCCAAGCCGTTCCCCACTATTTGTCCATCTGGTGAATCTAGTTGGCCTGTCTAGAGGTCTTTGTTTTACAGAGGTCAGCTGTTCCTCATCTAGCAGCAATCAGTTGTCAATATTCCTTTGCATAAGATTGGGGTCTGCTGTTTATTTTACCAGTTTTATGCTGGGTTACTATCTGGGAGTCCCTTGGGCCACCCTGGCCAACAACTCAAAAGAAGGTATCTCCTATCTGGCATTGTTGCTTGATATGTAGCCTTTAGCTATACATATGGGCTCTTAAAAAATTATTTTGACCCCTTTAATCCTTAGTTATACTTTCCTTTTGCATGTTTAAGGCCATACAGTTGGCCCAGATAAACCAATTTATTTTTACTCTTAAGGTCGTTTAAGGATCTGTTCCTCAGGGGTCACATGGGCTTGGGAGGAACCCCTGCCTCCTTTCTTTCACCAGGTCTGTGTATGTGAAGATAAGTCAAAGGTCCTGCTTGACCATGGCTGGCTTCGCTTGGAAGCATGGAGAAAATATTTCCTCTCTGTTGACCCTCCTCTTTGTAGACTGGACACTGGTTCAAGTCCATCTGGTGGGATCTCCTCAGTCTCCTTGATCAAGAGGACAGGTGACCCACCACCATTATAGGACATTTTGGGAGATGCTCATAGTCCCCTGGAACTAGGTGATCTAGGAGGGCAAGGAGCAAAAACTGGCCTTTATGTCCCTCTGACCAAATTATTATAGGCCTCAAAGTAATTCTGTTGAACATCCAAGAAGGTTAGTTCCACCAGTCTGGTACTTTTAATTACTGTGTGCCATGTAGATAAATCTTGGACAAAGACCAGTTGTTCTCAGATAAACCTTACCTAGGCAAGTATTCCTTGATCAGGTATGTATAATTTGTCAGTAGGTTGCTGGACTAATATGTTTTCCTCTGATTTTTAAAACTAACTAGGACTTACCTCTCACATTGTCTAAGCCCTCCATCATGATTTCCCTAATTAAGGTGTCACCATTTTCCCCCTTTCTCCCTTAATGATTCCCTTCTCCTATGGTGCTACCTGTCTTGAGCTCCTTCTTTCCCCTTATCCCCTAGGTTCCTTGTATACCCTCTCCTCCCCCCTCCCTTAAACTAACCCAATTTTTACTCATATCTCCCTTATTAATGCCTGTTTCCTACTGTTCTCTTTCAGGTTCTTTCTTTTCCTTTACCTCCCTGGTTCCTTTCCATTATCCTGGTTCCTGTAGTTATGTCTGGATACCTACTTACTTATCAGGATTTGGTTCTAGGATCCACATATGAGGGACAACATAGGTCGATTTTTTTTCTGAGTCTGCATTTCTTCACTTAGTATAACAGTTTCTAGTTCTATCCATTTACCTGCAAATATCATGATTTTATCTTTCTTTACTGCTGAGTAGAACTGCATTGTATAATGAACCACATTTTTGTTAATCACTTGTCAGTTTAGGGACACTTAGGTTGCCTCCATCTCTTAGCTATTGTGAAAAGAGTAGCAATAAACATGGTTATACAAGGATGAGTTCTTTGGTATATGTCAAGGAGTGGTATAACTGGGTCAAATGGTAGGTTCATTTGTAGTTTTTTAAGAGTTCTCCACACTACTTTCCATAGGGGTTGAACAGGTTTGCAGCCCCACCAGCAGTGAATGAGTGTTCCCCTTTCCCCACATCCTCTCCAACATTTGGTATCATTAGTTCTCTTGATCTTAGCCAGTCTGACTGGGGTAAGATGAAATCTTAAAGTGCTTTTAATTTTCATTTCCATAATTATTAGTGATGTTAAACATCTTTTAAGATGCTTCATAGCAATCTTTACTTCTTTTGAGAGCTCTCTGTTCAGCTACTTAGCCCGTCTTTTAATTGGGTCACTTCTTGTCTTGATTCTCTGTTTTTTGAGTTCGTTATATATTCTGGATATTAAATCTCTGTCAGATGTGTCACTGGTGAAGATTTTCTCCCATTCTGTGGATTTTCTGTTCACTTCCCTGGTTGCCTCCTTTGATATACAGAAGCTTTTTAGTTCAATGAGGTCCCATTTGTTGACTCTTGCCCTTGTTTTCTGAGCAATTGATGTTTGGTTTAGAAAAATCCTTTCCTACACCAATATCTTTTCGGTTTTTGCCAATGTTTTCTTCTAACAGTTTCAGAGTTTCAGGCTTTACATTGAGGTCTTTGATGTGTTTGTTTTGTACTTTTAGTGTTTTTACTATGATGTGCCGTACAGAGTTTCTGTTCTGGTCCTGTCTGTTTGGTGTTTTGTATGCATCTTATATTTGTATGGGCATGTCTTTCTTTAATTTTCAGAAATTTTCTTCTATGATTCTGTTGAGGATCTGGTTCATGCCATTATCTTGGGATTCTTCTCCTTCCTGAATGCCTGTGATTCATAAGTTTCGTCTTTTTATGGTGTCACACAATTCCTGCATATTCCATTCTTGTGGTTTCTTAAATTGTTCATAATCTTTGCTTGAGTGGTCTAGTTCATCCACTTTATCTTCTAGTCTTGATATTCTGTTTTCCATTTCATTCATCCTATTGGTGAAGCTTTCTCCTGTCATTTCTAATTAGACTGAGTATTTCACTTCCTTTTTCATTTCAGCATGAGTATCCTTCAATATTTCTAGCTCTTTTCTGAATTCATTCAGAAGTTTATCCTTATCTTCCTCCAGTTCCTTGATTTCTTTCTTTGTGTGTTCTTTAAATTCACTGAATTCTTTTATCATGTTTATAATTGTTCTTTTGAGTTCCATGTCCTGCATTATCTCTAGGGGCTACTCACTGTACTCCTCTAGAGGACTATATGTTATTTTGGTTTTTCATGTTATTATTTTTTCTCTGTGATTTTGACAGGTGATTTCTTCTGCAGTTTCTGATTCTTGTGTGAGACTCAAGCCTTCAAGTTCAGGTCTGTTTCTTTTTGTAAACTTTATGTGCCTTTGTGGTTTACTTTTTGGTCATGAAAAGCTGGTTTGTCTAACCTTCCGGTTCTCTCTGTTGATATTTATATTGGAGTGGCCAGATTGCTTTTGTCTTCAGGAGTTCCCACAGAGGCCAAGCCAGATGAGGATCCGATGCTCTTCAGGCTTTCTCCTAAGGTCTGGATCCCTCCGGTAAAGATTTTAGCCTCAGGAATTTAGGGGTTGGACTGGCCTGGGAGCTGGACCCAGGAAAGGTGCTGGTCTCGGGCAGCCAGTGGACATGCCACCCAGAGATGCAAAGGGAAATGGTGGCGGTAAAAGGTTCCAAGGGCTCCTGGGGACTGCACTGAGGAACTGGTTTGGCCTGGATTCAAAGAATCAGGAAGCCAAAAGGTCAGCCCCAGCATCCAAGCAAGAGGCTGGTAGGTTGTGCAACCCAGGGAAGCAGAGGGAGGTAAGGGCTCCTAGGGACCTCGAGAAGGCACTGGGTCCATCTAGATGCAAAGGATCAGGAAGCAGTGATGGCCCTGGGCGAAGAGGTCAGCCCAAGCATCCAGGAAAGAGGCTGGCTAGTGTGCAGCCCAGGGAAGCAGAAGGAGGTGAGGGAGAGAGGCTGTTGGCCATGCGGCCCATGGAAGCAGAGGGAGGTGAGGATGGGACCAGGCCCAAAGGGCTCCCTGGGACCTGGAGAAGGAACTGGGTCCACCTGGATGCAAGGAATTAGGAAGCAGTGTTGGCCAAGAGGTCAGCCCAGGCATCCAGGAAAGAGGCTGGTGGGCCATGCAGCCCAGGGAGGCAGAGGGAGGACCATTCAGGTGTTTATACCCAAATGTCCTTCAGTGTAAATGTGTCCACTGGAATCTAATCAGCCCATCCAGTGGTCATGTGTAAGTGAAACTCTCCCTCACACAGCAGCACCTAGTCTCAATCTAGTGCTCACCTGCCAATTATTTCTCAACTCCTGTGTACCAAGGGGCACTTGTTCTTCAGAAGGGCAGGGCCTGCTGTTGGAGAATTGACTGTGGAGAGTTAGCTAGGCACAGGGCGCTGCAGAGAGTTAGCCTTGGAGGGAGGACTATTGGCTCCATCTTGGAAGCGAGAGGCACAGAAAAATGGCCCTAGTGTCTCTCCTGTTAACGTGAGAGGGGGCATTTACCAACCTGGGATGAGATGGCAAGCCCACAAGGTGTGGACAAAAGCTAAGGGAGACTGTGGGTGGAGCACAGAAGCAATCTGGACCAGCAGGGCCCTGAGCCACTGAGCAGAACAGGCCTCTGGGTGTTTGCCTTTGTAAGTTCCACCATTTTCCCTACCCAGGATATAAAGTATGAAAAATTCAGATAAAGATGAGTTATATGGTTTGTCTAACAGCACCAGGAGCAAGGGACCCTAAAAGAACTCAGGTGACACCTCCCCTTTGTGCCTTTGTTTAATTGAGCTGACATGAGTCCTGTGTTGGATGCTACCACTGCGGCAGGCATACATGAGCAAGCCTCCATTGTCCTGGAAGCCTCCACCTCATACGTTCATGAATGAGCCCCGGCTCATTCTTACCCACCCATGGCTCAGGGTGGGTAAGAAGCCATTTAGGAGTTCGATCCTACACTCTACGGTCTCTTATTCTCCAAAACTTGGCCAATTGAGGCCTTGTGTGTGTAATGCACTCTGATGTACATGGATACCTCACTGGTGAGAGTTGAGGGGTGCATTAGCCCTCTCTCTACCCCTTATTCTACCATGTTCCATGAGCCTTGTTTGTAGAAATTCGACTGCAGATGTGTTACCTAGTACCAGGCATGTCTCATGTGTATGTTCTCTATGTCTGACCAGGTGTACAACTCTGTGATAGCCTCCATCTGTTGCAAAAAGAAGTTTCTTTGATGAGTGCTGTACAGCATGCTATTTGCTCTAAGGGAGGTCTCTTTTATTTCTCACTGCATTCCCTCCATCTTTCCATTCCTAACTTCCCTCCCTTCCCCACACCATGATCCCTTACATGTAAAAAATATGGAACACTTTATGAATTTGTGTGTCATTCTTGCACAGGGGTCATGCTAATCTTTTCTGTATTGCTCCAATTTTAGTATATGTGCTGTTGAAGTGAGCACTCAAACAATTTTAATCATCTTTATACCCCCCATCCCCACTGGCATCCTCCCATAGCCCCCAATCCCACTGGATGCCCACTGTGTTGTTAGTGCACCCAGACATTCCCCAGTGCAAGTCCATCTGCTGAGTCTAGTCAGCCTATCTAAGATCCCCTTGTTTTAGGAAGATTAGCTCTTCTTTATCTAGCAGCAATCAGTTGCCAATATTCCTTTAGATGAGATTGGGGTTTGCTGTTCATTATCCCAGTTCTATGTTGGGTTACTGTCTACCTCAGTTTCCATGGGACTTTTCTATGCTGACACCTATGCCCTAGAATCATGCGAGCAGATTCCCAGGAGCTTCTAGGACTCTCTTTCTATGTGGTCATGCACATCCTCCCTGGCTCTTACAATCTTTCTGACCCCTCTTCCATGATGGTCCCTTGGGCGGATGAAGTTTAATAAAGCGTCCTGTCCAAGGACCATTATTTAGAAGACTCTTGATCTCTACACTTTGGCTATTTGTGACCTTTTTTGTTCTTGGCCTTCCATTGCATGGGGGAGCTTCATTGTTGAGAACTGATTCATTAGGGTCCTCTTCTTTATCCCCATTCCATGTTCTATGAGCCTTAGGAGTAGAGGTTGCACTGCAGATATGTCCCTTAGGCCTGGGCAATTCATAGACAATGTCCACATGTGACCAGTTGTGGTACTTGGTTTTAGGCTCTGATTGCTGCAAAATGAGCTTCTTTGATGAGTGGTGACTGGGATATTTGTCTGTAAATACAAGGATACATATTTCATACA